TCCTCCTCCTCCTCCTCCTCCTCATCCTCCTCCTCCTCCTCCTCCTCCTCCCCCTCCTCTTCGCTCAATGCCGAAACGCCGAATGAATAAAGAAACGCTCACCAGAGGGACGGCCGAAGCACAGCTCGGGACGGAAGCGAGGCGGGCGGCGGCGGCAGGGCCGGGGGCGCGCCGCGGGAGGAGGAGGCAGCGCGGGGCAGGGAGGCCATCGCTCGGACGTCCATGCCTTGTGTTTTTTCGGTTTCGTGTCTTTTTTTCGCCAAATGATCAAGGATGCTCCTCGATGGTCCGCGCCGAAGGAAAAATGCACACGTCCGAGCGATGCCCAGCAGGGAGTACGGGAGCAGCGCGAGTGGGGGGCGGGGACTTCTCGGAGGCCCTTCCGGCCTCGCAGGAGAGGCCTCCTCGGGAGCTTCGGGGCCCGACCCAACAGGGGAGGGGGTCCAGCGAGGAGGGGGGCGGTGCAACAGGTGTCTTGCAGTAGATTTGTGGAGCTGCAGCTGACTTGGGGCGTCTGGAATATCGCGCGGCGTGCGTCAGTTGCAATACAGTGCGATAGAATGCCCTGGCGCAATACATTCGCGGTGCAGTCGCCCCAAATCTATTGCACTACCCCCTGTCAGCTGGACCTCCTTTGGGGCCACGAGGACCTCCAGAGGCCGCCCCTGTGGCCGTCGCTGGTCATGGGCAGAAGGGCCGCGCGAGATCGACAGGCAGTGCCCGACGGGCCCCTCAGTGGACGCGCGGGCAGCGTCGGAGGAAGGAGCAACAAACACCTGCGGGCAGGCGCCTGGGCCTAGCCGGGGCCAGGTTTAGGCGGATTTGGGGCGAAAAAAACAAACAGTAAAACAATACCCCCAAAAGATCAAGAATAGTAGAAAAATCGTCCCCAGACTATGTCTGGACTTTTTTTGAATATTCCTCCTGTAGAGGGGCGCGTCCGACTCAAAGCCAGGTGGACGATGCCGTGGCCTCTGGACGGATGCCGGCTGGCTGCCTTCCTCGTCAAGGGAGGGCAGGCGGCAGCCAGCGAGGGGAGGAGCGGAGGAGAGGGCACGGGGGTGGGAGGGCGGGCGTGGAGAGACGGGGCCGTCTTCTGGACGTTGGAGTCGCCGAGCCGGTGGTCCTACGAGGAGGAGGAGGAGGAGGAGGAGGAGGAGGAGGAGGAGGAGGAGGAGGAGGAGGAGGAGGGGGAGGAGGAGGGGGAGGAGGAGGGGGAGGAGGAGGAGGGGGAGCGAGGGAGAGCGTCGAGAGAGCCTCCGGCGTGATCTGTTTCCCACGGCGGCACTCCGATGACCGAATGCGCGAGGTGATCCAGGCAGGCGGCACTGAGACGCAGCTGAACGAATCGCCCAAATCACTGGCCCCGGCCGACTGGACGTCACCCCAAGCGTGTGTGGGTGGCGCGGAGTCGGTGTGGCAAGCTTGTGGGCAATTGCCTTCGTTCGTGATTTGTTCTTTTTTTCGTTTCGGAGCTGCCTCGGGTCGCCGTCAGACTCTTCCGTGCAAGTGCAGGGCGCCAGCACATCCCCACAGCTTGCGGCCACGGGCAAAAAAACAACGAGATAAGGCGGCAATATTCTGGGCCCGCCCTGACAAAGTGGAGACGCACAGGTAGAGGACGAGACCGAGGAGAGCAGAAGGAAAGGACGAGGAGGAGGAGGGGGGAGGGGGAGCAGGGCACAGGCAGGTAGACTGCATAGCGACGCAGCCCCCAAGAGGTGGAAGTCAGACGTGCGCTTAGGAAAAAACGGATATGCTCTCATCGAACCACGCTTGCTTGCTTTGTTTCCTTATATATGTATGTATATGTATATATATATATATATATATATATATATGTATATAAGTCTCTTCGGGGAGCACCAACTTCCCACGTACACCGATCCCGGGCCCAACGTAAGCATGGCCAAGATCTGTGTCTGGATTGTCGGCGTCTTCTTGTCTGAAGCTCTGGGCACATGCTTCCCTCGGAATATCGTGGGCCGGTGCGGGGTTATCCCTGAGCCGACGCCCAGTGAAGCAACGTTCTGATTGGAACTGCCCAAGTCACAGCTGCGGCGCCCTCTGACGTCACCGCGGCGCGGCGTCACCTTCAGCTTGGCCGCTAGAGGGTAATATGCACCTGCGCTGGGGCTGACGCAGGCACCTGATCTGCGAAGCGGGTAGGCGTCCCGCTGCTGTCGCACACGGGAGACAAACCGTCCAACAATTTTGGTTCCTTGCCGAAGTTTCCCGACGTCCAGAGGGCGCCCTTAGTCGAATCGCCGTTCCGAGCCATGGTCTGCGCTGAGATGCAGCGCGGGGCTGTGCACAGCACGGGGGCAGGCAAGGCACGCAGAACAAAGGATTGCCCCTGATCCGGGAATCTGCGCTCTGTAGGTCTTCGGAGAAGACCATGTCGTACTGATACGAGGCGGCCCGAGCCA